AGTCGACCTCCGGACGAGCCATGGCTCTATCCTGCTCTTGCCCCACCCCAGCCCAGCCCCAATCCTCCCCCCCTTCCCTTGCACTATAGCAGACTTACCAGCTGCATGCAGCTCTCCAAGCTGCCAGGCTGTGCTCCTCACTACCTACGTCATTTCCTACCATAAGAAGTCTGCACTCTGCATGTGGATTTTGTGAAGGAATGGAATAAAAAGGTGAAGGTTGCTCTGAAAGCTTTTTCAGGCAAAGTAGTCTAGGCAGGCCAGCAGCTCCATAACAATTACTGGTAGACAAGTCCAAAATTACTAATGTAATTGAAAGTGGAGCCTTTGAGGCATATAGCATGATTCAAGTGAAGGATCTCGTATCTCAGTACTGGGATCCAATGTTTGTTTTCAAATAGCATGGAAAGGCTGGTGGATTATTACAACACAGTGGGATAAAATTAATCATACCTTTTAATAGTATCTTTTATTTTGCTCGTGGTAAATATGAGCTCATCCCAGCACAATAGACACAAAGCTGGTAACATCTGGTGGCTGTCCTCAAGCCACTTCCTAGTAAATGAGTGCATACATGACAAAAACACCATTGATATAACTGGAAAACAATACCTCTGAGCAGTCTTAGGTGAGACCCAAATGGTACAATAAGGAAGGATCATCAGAATAGGCTTTCCAACTTTCTTTGAGACATTGGCCCAAAGGTCTCCATGTACCCGTCTGCCTTGTCCACCTACTTTTCAGACATGACTGGCCTCTGCTGGGTGATGAGGGATGGTGCATGTGATGAAGCAGTATTTTTGCTGCAGGTGCCATGGCTGCTCTGTTGATGGAAACAGTATATAGTCTCAAAGCCATTTTTATAGGACCTTTCATGGGTATTACTTTCATTATAATATTAAATAAGGTGAAGCTTTCTTTTGCCATGGTTTCTTTTTTTTTTTTTTTTTTTTTTTGAGCAACCAGAACAGCTTTACATAAAAGACAGCTTTTGGAAAAAGGGAGACACTTTTAGCCACTTTCTCCCACTCAAGTGGCCATTTTTTTCATTAAGCAACTAGCAAGAGAAATGTGCCTGTCGTTTCTTAAATGCGGCTTTCCAACATTGCATGGCAAAGGTATCTCATCTCCCAGAGGCTGAGGACAAGCAATATTTACTTCTGAACCTGTGATTTGTTGAAGATCTGATGGTTCATGATTCTGAGGGGCTTGAGAGTAGAGTTATATCGGGTTAGGGAAGCTTGCAAGCCTCCTTTATAGGATAAGTAAAGTTTTCCATATGGTTTCCCCTTTGTTGCAGGAGGAGGGGTGTCTTTTGGTGTGCCAGCCTGATGTCCTGTGATGGTAGTAAAAGCATAAGTGATTAAAAAATAGTCTTGTGCTGTCACTAGCTGTTTTTACATAAATGAATCCCAATATAACATTCCATGAGTATCACCCCTCTCTTTTGCTACTTTTTGGGCTCGTTTACATGAGACGCTAACTGCATAGTAGCCTAATGACACTGTGCAGTAGCATGTCACAGCACAGACAGTGCTAATACGCTGCTGCACTGTATTATTAGGCTACTGTGCAGTAGCATAACTAAAAGGCATTCACCGGCATTACTGTGCAATAACTCTGGCTACTGCGCATTTATTTATTATACAAGTATGAAATGAAATGTGCCGTAGCTACTGCGCATTGATGCATGTGTAGATGTGGCCTTTGAGGGTAATCACATTAAGCTATTGTACATCTGAATTCCTTCCATTGTGGTAAATGAAAGAGGCCAGCAGCTCATAAGAACACCAGAGACTGTCAGAAATCTGACTTGTAATGATCTTCACAGACGACAAGAAAATAAAAGGGGCATTGCATGCATGGGATTAATTGCCCAGCTCCATATGATGGCTGGCAATTCACACAGCTGCTTTGTCATTGGAGAGTTTTGCCACAAGAAAAGTCCCCCTGCTCTTTAGGAGGGATGATTTCACGTTTATGATGAATTTTGGGAAGAAGAAATAAAGTTGCCAATGATGCAGTACAGCTCTAGGATAAAAGGATGGAAGGTTTCAGAGACCTCTTACCTTTTTGTGATGATACCTGCTGGTTGAGATTAGCTGCAGTGTGGGAGCCAACAGGCCCTCTAAATTTAAACAACTGAAGACTCAGGCAAAGTCTGCTCTATTGGGGATAGAGGGGGAAAGAGCCTCTACTCCGGAACTTGCTGCCTTCCTTAGTCTGAGGCCTGAGCACTTAGCCACTGCATAACTGCAATGTATCTTTTCTTTTCATTAATTATTCACGGTTTCATGGTGGTCTGAGATTCTAACAGCTCCATCTCCTCTCTGTTAGTCTGTTCACAGTTCTCCAGAGGAGTTTATGCCATCTTTGGATTCTACGACCAGATGTCAATGAACACACTGACGTCGTTTTGTGGGGCTCTGCACACGTCCTTCATCACCCCCAGCTTCCCAACAGATGCAGATGTGCAGTTTGTCATCCAGATGCGGCCAGCCTTAAAAGGAGCCATCTTGAGTCTTTTGACATATTACAAATGGGAAAAGTTTGTGTACCTCTACGACACAGAGAGAGGTGAGCACCGCCCCTTGTAGGTGGCATATTATGCAGCATGCTAGAAATATTAATTGAACCGATGGAATACACGACATCCATGGCAGCCTTTGAACACAAAGCAGGCATTCAGATCGACTGTCCTAGCAAGCAGACATTTATTCTGCCGGAAGGGAATGAAGGGGGAAATGAGAAAAGGGGCCTCTTCATATTCTCAGTCATTTGCAAGCATAGGTGCTGGAGGGAATACTTAAGAGCTTAAGCATGAGGACTGGATACCTGCTTTCCATGGGACCATAGATTCAACTCCTGCAAGGTGTTTTGGTGCAGCCAGCACTTAAGAGGTTTAAAACCACTGCAGCTCACCCCGTTTTTACCATCTTAGACTCGCACTGCAGTGGGTGTTGGAAGGGGGAGTAAATGGTAGAAGCATTAACCTCCTATTTGCCATGTGTTGGCTATGAAGATCCCAGGGTGCTTTTTACAAATGTGCTTTACTTCACAGGATTGGACAAAATTAATCCATGTTGTTATGCCACATTGTAGCAGGTTCATGCCACAGGAGCAGCCATGATACCCCTTCATGTCTGTGTGGCTCCTGCCTGACTCTGTCTCTGATGTGGCCCCCCTTTAATTGCTCGCCCTCCATGCCTTGTTGTTATTGAAGATAAGTAAGAGAGGATGCCTATGAGCCTTAGAGAGAGCCTGAGCCCAATCAACTCCTCAGCGGGTCCCTCCTAGACCCCACTAGTCTCAATCCAACTCTTATGCTAAATAGGCCCTCTTGGCTTGGCAGTGCCCCTGCAGGGCACCTATAGCCTTAAGGGCAAATTGTGTGTGGCTCCATGCCTCCCCTACACCACAACCCAAGCCTCGCAGGTGTTATCACTCCAGGTGTTAACTTCTCTTAGCCCCACTTGGGACTCTCAGACCTTCTAGGTCTCTCTCAGCCCTCTATTGCTGGGTCCTCAGACCCCTAGCCCCCCACGTAGTGCTTTCGGAGACTATAGACCCTCTAATCCCTCACTCCAGCTCTTCCTAGCCAGCGGGTCCTCTGTTCAGCTTCCTGACGGAGTCCCTTCTCTGGGCTGGGAAACCCTTTGTACCCCACTCAGATCCTTCTCTGAGCTGGTGGGCACTGTTCCCTTATTCAGCCCCTTTTCTGGGCTGGGGAATTCTCTGTAGGCCTTGAGCCTGCCTCCAGCAGGGCTCAAGGCTTGTAACTCAAATATTAATTCTAACATATAACAAAGGTCCCTTGCCTGCATAAACCCTTTCTTCTTTGCCCCAGGCAATATTCTCTGGTTCCCAGGCTTTCAGAGTCCTTCTGCTTCCCCTACCTTCATGGGTCCTTCAGGAGTCCTGCTGCTTGCTGCAGAGAATGCCTCTCCTCAGGTTCTTGGGGCCAGGCTCCCTGACAGGCGCAGGCACTGGGCTATCAAGCCCTAGGCAGGCCTTCTTCCCATCAGATGACCCTGCAATCTTCCCCCACACCACCTGCAAGCTGCCTCTTGGGCAGCTTCTCCTCTTGAAGTGGCAGGCACCCCACAGTGCCCTACTACACACAGGCTATGCATAACGCCATCCTACACCCCATAGCCACTCACACTTGGAGGTATTCTCAGCATGTAATTTTTGCTTGCTTTTGAGCTCTTTGGGGTGAGTGATATGTTACATGGATATTCAGAGGTAGTTTGGATATTTAGCTGATAGCCAGCATATCCTGACTTACAGGGTATTTAACACGTGCCCTGGGAGGCATGGGGGGGCACTTTAATTAGAAAGCCGTATTAATTAAAAGCACCCAAATGTCATATGTATCAGCCTCCCCTATAAAAATGACGGTGGGTGCTTTGAACTAAAGCTCACCAAACAAGCTTTAGTTCAAAGTGCCCCGCTGCCATGTTGCAACTCGGGGATGCTGATGCACACAATGCAGGAGGCTGCTGGAGGATGTTAATTTGCGTGCTGCAGCAGACTCAATTCTGTTCTGATGCGCTGGATTTCCAGCACGCTGGAGCTGCATTTCTGCACGTCTATAGAAGCCCATAGTAGTTAGCCCCACAAGAAAACCTGGGAGATTTTTGTAACCACTTTCTTTAGGGCTTAGGCCAGTTTTTAACTATATTAAGAAACGGGATGAAACCATAAGGAGGGGCAGGGTACCCCACAACTACTAGATATAGGAATTTAATACCTTCCTCTCAAGCAGCTGGTGTTGCGATTGACCACATACTGCATAAAGTGGTATGATACAGGTATGATACAGTATGACATTTTCTGATAATGTTTGTTACAATAAAATATTACTAGTAATCCCCCACGTTGAATAAATACAGCAGACAACTGGATGCCATAGAATCTATGTGGCTAAGAGCAAACAGAGCTCCACTAGTTCAGTTGGGAAGAATATGTCATATTTGGAGCAAAAAGGATCTTAGCTCTGTCCAAGTTAGGGCCCTGTAGTCCTGAGGGACTTGGTTCTACAGTGTATAACAAAGGTCAAGTCCTTAGTGGCTACTTTTGCACATTCTTACTAAGAAGGTTTGCGCAAAGGTTTTTATAGCATTTGGTAGGGCTAGAGTCTATGTCAACTAACATTTTAAAAACATGAGATTCAATGTAGAGAGAGGTATAAGTGCCAATATATTTTGGATGTGTAGATAGTAGTGAAGCTGAAATGTGCTTGCTTAGGTGTGAGATCAAAGACAAAGAGAAATATCTGGAGAAATCACGCTGCAGTTGAAAATGCTGCTGAAACTTTTTTCAAACCACTACAAAAAAGTGCGTTTTTATTTTAATTCAGCTCATACAACTATTTTGGGCATTTGTAGATGCAGTCTTAGGCAGCTGTGCCATTTACTGAAGTAGGAAGGGAATGACTAAGATACAATGCAATATTTCATATGTTTAAATGCGGAGGAAATTTTACAGATAAATATCTTTTGGGTTTGGCGAGACATGCAATAATGCAAGGTCATGATAAGCAATGTTCAGAATGTTTGAAGGGAAGCTGTCCACGTCACCTGAGGCACCCATATCGCACATCAGCCACCCCCTGTATATACTATGAGTAACAGCATACTACTTTTTTCCTATAGAAAACAAGACCTGGGAATCTCTCTGTCACTTTCTTTCCTTGCCATTTTCCACATCTCCCTGCTTCCTGCCTTCCCATTTGCATCCTAATAGGTCCTTACAGTTTTTTATGAAGCTTCTATCATAAGCCTAGACTCACTATCACATCTTGACTATCACATACCTTAATTTCAATTAAAGGACAGCAAGGATCCCGTAAAAAGTCTAACAGAGTTACTGAACGATAGGGTGTGATATTGCAAGATAATGGAAAACTGCATCTTTGGGAAGCGTGTAGGG